TCTAGATTCCACTTCACAGCATTCAAAAAAGAAATCACATTTTCATGGGGGCACTGGCATTGTGCCTGTGTCAAACCATAACAATTGGTTTCTCCCTGGGTTTTCCCGCCTTCCCTCATGCGTCAGTCTCCATAGAAAATGCCAAGTCAGTCCCCTGTCCCCTCCTAGGTGCCTTGTCTGTCACTTGGCGCCCCTTCCCCTAACTCTAGAAACTTCCATCCAGGGCACCAAGTGATTGGATGAGGTCCTGGGACCCCTCCCCTGTCTCTCCCTCACTGGATCCCCCAGATGTCAATCCCCACAAGAGTCACTCCTGTCTGTTCCCCACTGGCTGATCGGCCCCCCTCCCTCTCCCTATGGAACATGTTGCCAGCACCCCTCAGTTGCTCTTGCTGGCTGGCCCCCTCCGATGCTGTTGGATCCCCAGGACCTCAATAAATATCGGATTTTTGTCCCCAGCAAGTGCCTCTCCTCATTTCCTCGCCGTTGGAATCAGCAGCAACCTCCGGACCCACAAAGCACTCTCCAAAGCCCAGCTGGGTACAGCGGAGGGTGCTTCCACTCGCCCTACTCGCCCCGCAGGAGAGCTAGCCGGGACTGAGGACAGTGGTCTGGGGCGGGGCCATGGTAATTTGAGGCCTGCCGGGGGGCCAGAAGAGAGCCTGACCCCACGGCAGAGGACCCTCGGAGTCCAGGAGACCCGTGGATTTATCCTTTAAGCCGTCAAATTACCCCGGTGGGAGCAGACCCACGTTTTAGTGAGTGGCACTCCCGGGGATGGGGCCGGCAGCTTCGGCCAGCACCACCGGAGTCGGCTCCCCCTACGACGTGTCTGCAGCCTGGATTTTTTTGTTTCTGCCTGGACGTGACCGGACCCTCTTTGCTGGTGAGTGAGGGGGTCCTTGGGGCTTAGACTCCTGCTCTTTTTGAGGGTTTTCCTTTTTTCCCCATTGTTGGGGGGAGGGATTCCCTCTTTGGGTGGGTTTTTCTTGCTCCCTGGGTGTAGGGGAAAGACCCCACATTCTTTTGTTATAG